AGCCACCCTTGGCTTTTTGTGAGCTTCCATTTCAATAGAAAAAGCGAACAGATTAAGCATAAGACAGTGAGCAGTGAAAAGAACAAGGGCCGATAAAACCGATGTCAATTGATGAAAAGTGCGGTGGACAGTCAATTTCTGAAATGAAAAACGGTTTATGAGTTTCTCAAGAGGAGTTGTATAGGGCTGGGATTGTATAGGGCGATTGTATGGGGCGATTGGGCTATTCGAAAATTCAGGATGGATTGATAGACGCGATAGGGCAACCAATACGTCTATCAGACTCTTATCAGCAGCCATGTTATTGGTATTCTTCGTAAACACCTGATCACTTGGAAGGGTTCATTTCACGTCATAATGACTTGTCCCTCGGACTCTGGAAAGGTGGGTATGCCTCTCAATGACAAGTTACTTTAGGCTGCAAGGATAGGGGAAGCCCTACACCTCTCTCCATCATGACACTCATCCACCAGAGAATTTCTAGGGGCGTCTAGATTTTAGGTTGGACTAGGTGCCTTGAAATTAGTAGCGAGAAAAGTGCCTTCCGCCCGTTTCTTTTCAATCACTTCCGAGTATGTACATCCATGGCTAACGCACTTTCGGTTTTACAGTTATGCAGGAGGTAAGCGGACCAGCCCTTTGGGAGTTTCTGCTGAGGCCGTATGCTGAATGTTGGGAGGGTTGGGGTCGACGGACTACTTCAACTCGGTCGGTACGGTAGGAGAGTAATGACGCAAGTGGTGCACTCTCTTCCAGGTCCGTCCTCTCTTTAAGGCTTAGTCCTGAGGTAAGCATCAAATTGAGGCGGTTTTAAGGACCGAGTTGAAGTAGTCCGTCGACCGTCGGGGACCCCATCCCCTCCCCAACATTCAGCATACGGCCCCAGCAGAAACGCCAAAAGGGCTGGTTTGCTTACTTCGTTAGCTAGCGGAAAGTTATGATGAGGTCGAACAGTTAGAATTGGCTATTCTCTCCCTTTCAAGTGAATCGATATATTCAGAAAATAACAGAGGAGTTTATTGCGAAGACGTTCTGCAGACTGGAAAAGGGGCCAATTAGCGTAAGTAGCACTAATTAAATTAATTGTAGCAGTAAGTGTGAGAGTAAATTACGAACTTATTTAGAAATTAGTGAAACGTTAACATGACCCCACAGAGTCACTTTACTTTGCTTTTGGCAGCAAAAAAACCGAAAAATTGAGAAACTTTGTTTTTCCCTCATTTTTTTTCATTTTGTGGACACTGGTGTACTAGAGAGGGAACGTCGCGGCGCAACACGTCAGTCAACCATCACCATAAAGCAGAAATGGTAGCGAGATTAGAGAGCACCGCGCAGTATTGATTGGGGCACTTGTGATTTCTGTGGTCCGTACGTGATTCAAGCGAATCGCGCGACGGATCGCGGACTCTGACACTAGCCCAACATTTTCAATGTTACGCATGGGGTGGAAGCTCTGAGTATTTGAGTTCTTGCTTGTGCGTACAAGAAACTATGAAGGTCCCGGAAGTTTTGGGGGCCGTGCGCCACGATACGTCCTAGTACACAAGTGCCAGTGACATTACGATAGAATGGGTGGGACCGATGTTAGAGGACGGCCTTTGTGGCCTACATACATGTGATACCCCTACAGCATTGATCTCTGAATGCTGGAAAACGGCTAACTGTAGATGCTAGATTATTCTTTGCAATAGTGGCAGCGTCAAAGGCGCTGCG